AAAAAAAACCTTGTCCTGTAAGTTATATTCCTTTTGGAAGGTTTACTGTATGATAATGGGTATAATGGTTTGTACATGTTAAGGTTTTGCCTCAGTACTTAGTACCAAATAATCCTACCAACATGGTATCAAAGTTAATAGCAGTGGCCATAATCTCCTGCAATGATTACATCCAGCAGTATTAGGAATAAAGGAATATCATAACTGTTGGTAGTTTGCCATGTTTGTGCCTTAGTATTTGCAACTTGTAAGACATGTACTATTTAGCCAATTTATGTTCTACAGCAGTGTGTAGAACATACCTTTTGGAGCCATAGCACATATTTCACGTTAGGAAAAAATAAATAGGGTTAGGGGTTAGGCATGTATCAAGTCCTACTGACACTGCTGGGCATTCTCTGGACTTGGTCTTCACCTTTGGTGTTTCCCTGACCACTTGAACTTAAATGACATTGTTTTTAGCGACCATAAGTCAGTTTCTTTTAATGTATCTGTCAACTCAGAGTCTCCTTCCCAAGGTTTTATTTGGCGCACTCAATGACTTAATTACAGTAATAGGTAAAATAATATTCTCCTTGTGTTCTTTAGATATATTGCCTCCCTCTGTCCTGTCTGGTACTCTCACCATCATTGGTCCCACATTGTTATCCATCATCAACAGTTCACTGAGGCAAGGTTGTGTTCCATCCTATTGAAAACATGCTGAGGTAATTCCACTTTTAAAAACACAGAATCTAGATGCTAGCTCTGCTAGTAATTATCGGCCTATTTCAAAATTGACATTCATAAGTAAACTACTGGAAGAAATTGTAGAAAATCAGTTCAGGACCTTACTATGCAGATTACAGATTTTGGACCCTTTTCAGGGTGGCTTTCTAAAGCAGCACTCAACTGAGACCACTCTCTTAAGGGTCTATAATGATTTGTTAATGGCTTCTGATGCAGGAAATTTTTCTGTGATCATTTTGCTTGATCTTAGACCAGCCTTCAATATCATTGACCACAAAATGAACAGGCTGAAGGTTTTGGCTGGTATATCTGGATCTGCCTTAGACTGGTTGTCCTCCTACTTATCAGATAGGACCTTTTCTAGGACTGACAGGTTGACTGACAGGTTTACCTTTAACATTGCCCCCCTAACCTGCGGAATTCCACAGGGTTCAGTTCTGGGTCCGTTATTATTTTCTTTTTACATGCTCCCTTTAGCTGGCATTATTCAATCATTTAGTGACATTTCTTATCATTTCTATGCCGATGACATTCGGCTGCATATGTCCTTTAATCCAGTGCTTAACTCAGGTTTCTGGTTGGCTTTCTAGCAACTACCTTGTATTAAACATGGAGAAGACAGAGACCATGATCATAGCTCTTCCTGAACTACATTCTAAAATCAGTCATGTTGTTGCCCCTTTCTGTTCTTCTCCCAAGTCAAATATTCGAAATCTGGGAGTAATATTTGATTCTTCTCTGGGCCTGGACTCACATGTAAAATCTCTGTCTCGTTCCTGTTTATTTCATTTAAAGAACATTTCTAAACTGTGAAAAATGGTCTGCTTAGCTGAACTGGAAAAAAATTGTTCATGCATTTGTGTCATCACGTTTAGATTATTGTAATGCCCTGTTTACCAGCTTGGACAAATCATCTCTTTCTCACCTCCAAACTATACAAAATGCAGCGGCCAGGCTACTAACATCTTCTAGCAAGCGTGCTCACATTACTCCTATTTTTATATTCCTTACATTGGCTCCCTAATTGATTTTAGAATACGCTTTAAAATTCTTGTCTTAACACTAAATGCACTAAACGGCCAGGCCCCAGATTATTTATCCAAGCTTCTTATAAAGTATACTGCTGCTGCTTGTCTCCGCTCACAGACTCAGAGTTTGTTGGTTGTTCCCCGTACACGACTGAAGACCAGAGGGGACAGAGGCTTTCGGTCTGTGGCACCAAGGCTGTGGAACAGTTTACCACCACAACTACGTTTGGTTGACTCTGTGGAATCCTTTAAAAAGCAGTTAAAAACTTTTCTTTTTAAACAAGCTTACTGTTGATCAACACTTTTGAAATTTTAATTTACTATTAATCTTTTATATTGTGTATATTGTCTATTTTGTTACTTAACTTTCTGTTTATTTTAATCTTTGTGTACAGCGCTTTGTGACAGCCTGTCTATGAAAAGCGCTTAATAAACAAACTCTACTTACTCACTTAAATAAAAAATAATAATAATAATCACATGGCACACCACCAAACAAAAATGACACAAAAAGGATATTGACAATTTTTCCCCGCGCACCAGGTATAGAAGAATTAGCTCAGTTTGTCCCCAGTATAACTTTTTTGTTTTTTTTTCTGACCACTACTCATGCTAGGGCCTTCATCCGGGTGAGAATTTTCTCCAGGGCCCAGGTCAGATTGACTACTTTTTCTTTTCTGTTGCTGTTATGCGCTGCATCGTCTAACAGCATGAGAATTATGTAATTTCTTCTTCGTTTTCTTCTGCTTACTGGCAGTTGGCAACTAATTTAATTAGAGCAGGTAGTTGTACTGCCTGCTATTGGAAGACAACGTAATTGTTCTGCAAGTTACTCACGCCGGTCGCAGGAACCAGATAATCTTCAACGTAACACTTGATCATCTCTCACGGCACTATGCGCCGGCACAGTGGTTGGGAAACACTGGTCTACAGTGACCCCTTGTGGACACTGAGATATTGCGGTGATGAGTAGATGTGATTGTGACTCTACTAATTATGATATTGCCTGTTTCTGTTTTCAGAAAATCATGCTCATAAGTCACACCTACTGTATACTCTACAATAATAAGTTCAAGTATGGCTGCACCAAATTTGGATTGAGCCTGGAAAGATCTCTGATGTAAACAATTCTTCTGTGGAACTTAGTTAAAGACAGTTAACCCAACTCCTGCGGTCTTTCTGAAAGAAGACTTAGTCCAGAATTGTATACCCAGACTTCATGTATTTCATGTATGTATGACTATAGTCTATAATGTGGATGGGTCCTTATGCTGGTCACAATCTTAAATAATGACTTGTTTTCAACACACTAACAATACACTAACATTGGATGAACATGTGGAAGAGCTACTTCTTTTGCTACTGTGTGTAAAGCCAGTTTGATATATGTTATTTGCACATCCATAGAGTTAAGGTTCAGAGGCACTGCATGTTTTGCAGTGGTTCTTACAGAAAAGCTGCAAGTGTAAAGCATTTGCTTGGCACTGGCAATATATCAGGGTTTAGCCCCAAAAACATCTTAGTTAACCAAAATAAAAATAGAAACGAGACTTTTGAAATAAAATCTTAAATTAACTGAAA